CCACTTTTGGCTGTTACAGATAATACTGCTGTAAACATTTATATACAAGTTTTTGTCTGGACATCTGCCTTCATTTCTCTTGGATATAAACCTTGGAGTGAAATTGTTGGGTCATATGGTAAATTTGTTTACTGTTTGGGGAACTGTGAGACTGTTTCCAAAGTAGCTGTGCAAAAGGAATACTGACTAAAGGAAAACTTTTTTCTACCCTAGGATACTTCAGATACCAAATATTTGGTGGAGTCCGGCCTCCCAAGTCCATTTTTCAAATGAGGTTCTATTTGTTAATTTTCACATGATGATTTTTTTTAAAAAAGTGAAAGTAGCATGGTTGTGTCTGACTCTTTGCGACCCCATGGACTGTAGCCTGCCTGGCTCCTCTCTCCATGGAATTTTCCAGGCAAGAATTCTGGAATGAGTTTCCATTTTCTTCTCCAGGGGATCTTCCCGACCGAGGGATGGAACCCAGGTCTCCAGCATTGTAGGCAGATTCTTTACCAACTGAGCCATAATGGAGCTTTAATTTCAGGGTATTGTCTCTCTTCTATTTGTAGGAGGCTTCAAAACACCTCTCATACAAACACAAACAGCTGTCTTCACACAAGCATTTTCTTTCCCTCATTCTTCCAATAGCGTTATATTATGGGTTGGCCAAAAAGTTCTTAATTATGATTGGATCAGATTTGGTGTTTACATTATGTTGTGTGTGCGCACATGCCCTCAGTCACTTCAGTCGTGTCCAGCTCTCTGTGATCCTGTGGACTGTAGCCCACCAAGCTCCTCTGTCCTGGGGTTCTCCAGGCAAGAATACTGGAACGGGTTGCCATGCCCTTCTACAGGGGATATACCCAATCCAGGGATCGAACTCGCGTCTCCTGTGTCTCTGGCATTGAGGCCGTAGTTTTAATTTTTTTAGAAAAAATCAACATATAAAATTGATTTTATTTTTTCTATACTTTGATTAAAACAGCATTCAGTAACACACTATAACACTAAGCATTTCAGATAAAATTGGTGATCAAGAAGGGCATAACCTCCTTCTGCATGACAACTGTGGATTTTAATTGGAAAAATCCTGTAATCTATAAGTAAGAATATACAAAACATATTTAAACCACTTGAGCACTTGATTTTTCCATGTCCTTTGCATCTAGATTGAACAGACCACAGGAAATTTCAAAGACTGATTGCTGAATCTATCTTCAGAATCTCCTCCTTCCAAAACCCAGTACAGTGGCTCCATTATGGCCTGTAGATTCTGAACCATTTCCACCAGAGAACATTTAGTATAACCTTCTCAATTAATCAACCATAAACTATTATTGTTGGAAAGGACATGCTTTCTTCATCTTTTCAAAAGTAGGGAACTCCCTTTCACACACAGATGAGCGAGGGAATGCTCAAGGACAAATTTCAGTCAACACTTGGAGGAACCCCATAGTTGAGACGTGAACTTACCTGAAAACATCCAAACGTATTATGGAAGCAACATACTCATAACCGAGAGCCCGGAGGGGCGCAGGGCACCACCGCGTCCATCCCGTCCACGGGCGGACGTGGACGCGGCTCGAGAGGCAGGAATCCCGGCCGAGACGCCGAGGGTACGCGGTGGCAGGGTGGACGCGGGGCTCACCTCTCCTCCGCGGTGCGGGAGCGTGAGCCGCGGAAGCTCCCTTGTGGCTGGCGCGAGCCCCCGGCGGGCGGCGCGCGCGGGCCGCTACCCTGTGGTTTTAATTTTAACTCACTGAACCACCTGGGAACTACAAGTAGTATTTATATATGACTATATAATACTATATACTACTATATACTGTATACTACTGCAGTTCAACCACTAGTATACTATGATTACTTTTCCTTTCTTTTACGACTTTTTATTCTGCTCGGAGTTATCTTATTTATTCCTTACAAAATTTCGGGACTCTCGTTTTCAGAAAGCCCGGCCCTTGATACTGGCTCAAGCTTAGTCGGGTATCAGGGGCAAAAAGCGTCCCCGGACGTTGGATTTCCTCTTCCCATTGGCTCGTGACTACTCTCCTCCCCTTTTCTGGATGGTAATCAGTGTAGTTTGCGGAGGAGCGTTTAAGGTGCAAATCACTGCTGGCTCAGTGGGTGAAGAATCCTCCTGCAGTCCAGGAGACGCGAGTCCCATCCCTGGGTTGGGAAGATTCTCCTGGAGAACGAAGTGGCAACCCATTCCAGTACTCTTGCCTGAAAAAAAAAAAAAATCCCATGGACACAGGAGCCTGTCGGGCTACAGTCGGACTCGAATGAGCAAAGAGGAGCCGAGAAGTGTGGCTGGTTTGGCTTTTGTCACTTCTGTGCCTGTGCCTGGCTTTCTGTACGGTAATTCCTAAAAGATGGCAGCCTCGTTTCCGTGGCGAACAGCGCTCAGACATTAGCTCCCTGGAAAAGCCGGAAAAAAAAAAAAAAAAAAAAAAGCCGCAGCCCTAGTCGGCCGCCGTAGTCCAGCTAGGGCGCAGTAGTAAAAAGAATTCTCGGAAGTGAGGGTTCGGGGAGGTCGCGGTGGGATCAGGAGAAAATCAGGATAGCGTGTGGATCTCTGCGTGGAATAGGATGAGAGGACTGAGGTGTCGCTCGCGTCCGGGTGGGGTGGGGCCATGCTGTCCATAGAGGGAGAGGAAGCCAGTGGGAGTTGGGGACGGCTCTTTATGGTTGGGGTGACGTTGAAGTCAGTTCTGAAGGATTCTGGTGTTTAGTCCAGTCGAGATCAAGGATTGAAAATCCGTAATCAGGGTTTTGTGTGTCTCTGCCGTGCTTGGTGACTGAGGACTGCGTCAGGGAATGATATTTGTCGATTAAAGTGGTGTCTGGTTTGGATTCGGGATTTAGTAGGCGGTTTAATGACAGGATCGGGGGACTCCTGGTCAGCGAACCTGGGTGTCTACTGCAGGTTTGGGGGTGAATCCAATGTTTGCGGGGCGGGGAGGCCGGTGGTGTCCAGGTGTGTCAGTCTTTGAGAGGTTTGTGAAAGCTGAAGCTGGTGGATGGGTGGGTGTTTCAAACGTTACTTTCTCCTTCAGTTTCTCAAGTCCAGGGCTTCGTTTGTAAAATCGCCTTTGACTTCTTGTATCTTTTCCTCTCGGACCGGTAGAAATGAGAGCGTTGTTGGAGACCGAGGACTAAGCATATCTAAAGTGGTAAGGTTTCTACTAAAAATGAGGATTTTGCCTTTCCTGCTTGTTTACTGTGTGTGTGCATACACACACTTGTTACTATTTCCTTTCAGAGTTGTTCTAACAAGAGTACAATAGCATCTCTGTTCTCCAATGGTCATATTTTTTTAAAGTTTTCATAAGTTTACTTTTTAGTCTTCATTTTTCTATGCTTGGTTTTCACAGTTCCAGTAAACTGTGGAAATATTGGTATAATTAGCCTCATTATTTAATTTCCTATCATAAATATTCATAATGAATGTATCATACAATTTTTTTTTTCTGTGAAAATTCTTTTTTAAAAATTCCTAACAACATACCAAGAGACAAACCTATGCCATTAATGACTAGCGTCATTCAATATGTATATTCATTTAGATAGAATTTAAATGCTTAAATAGTCAGCACTTTTGAGAACAGGTTATGATTCTGCATTTACACAAAGAGTGTGGTTCCCTGTCCCTCATCTCCATCTTGATTTTTAACTTTTTTGCCATTGTGAATGGTGTCTTTTTACTGACTTTTAACTTTCTATTGCGTAGAAGAGCAATTATATTGAAAAGATTTGTTTTTTGCTCACCCTGCCTCATTGTTACAGGCTTCCCCATCCCCCATGATTTTATTATGAAAATTTTCAAATGTATATCAAGGATTACAGAATTATACATTTGAATTGCTGTGTGCCTGTCACCTAGATTTTATCAGCATGATTTTTTTGTGTTTCCTTTATTGGATGTGTATCCATATATCACTCTTCTATTCATCATCAACCCACCTTTTTAGTTTTTGGGGGGTATATTTCACTGTGAGTTGCAAAGACTTATGCATTTCCCTCTAAATATTTTAGTAAGCAAATAATTAGAGCTCTACTCATAGTTTTTTCCTAATAACTTTTTTATTCAAACATCATACAGTTTATCTGCTTTAAGTGTACAATTTAGTGATTTTTATTGTAATCACATTTCTTGAACTTGTTTTTATACTTTTACTAAATGGGTTATTGTTGTTTTGTTGCCAAGTCATGTTTGACTCTTTTGCTGTTCCATGGACTGTATCCCACCAGGCTCCTCTGTCCATGGGATTCTCCAGGCAGGAATACTGGAGTGGGTTGCTATTTCTTTCTGCAGGGGATCTTCCCAACCCAGGGATTGAACCCTTGTCTTCTGTGTCTCCTGCTTGGCAGATGAATTCTTTATTACTGAGCCACCTGAGAAGCCCACTAAATGGATATATCCACAAATAATAATCTTGATCTACACACTTTAATTTTTTCCCCTGGGTTTTCCTTTGTTTCTTTCACACTATGGAGTAGTTCAGCAGGTCCACGAGCACACATGGTTTCCAGGGCAAAGCTGTCCAGGTCGTCATGTTTATATGTTCTCTTTTTGTGTTGTGCTGGTTCTCCTTCCCCATCTCCCGTTTCACAGTCACCCCACTTCCACCTCACAGAAGGAAGAAATACTATCCACACATTTACAGTCTTCTATTTTATTGCTCCAGCATGTAATAGCCTCCGGGTCCCCAAATAAAGGGACAAGTGACCTTGAAGTTAGGTCAGTGACAATGTCAATGACAAACATCTGGGCCCTGAGGAAATGGACACTCAAAAGTGAATTTACTTTTCACCCCACAGGTCCTGGCTCCCTGATATATCAAGATACAAGATACATCAAGTGACTTGAGGGGGTTTCCCTTCCCGGACGTCATCACTTGCAGGGATGTCACTGCCTTGGGACTAAGATTTCTAACCCAAAATTGAGGACAGTCCAAGAAGAGACTCAGGACACATCCTAGTCTTTGGCTAGTTCTCAGTATCAGAAGAAAATGATTAAGGACCAGGTAACTTTTTGGCTTGTCTTATTCCTTCCATCATTCTGTAATTAGTTTTGGGAGGGACTGTAAAACACAATTGAATTCAATAGAAAATAACAAATTGGAAAAGTAGGAATTGTGCAGAAATAAATTTAGATTTAAATTCAGCATCAAGGGAAAGTAGCATCAGGAATATATTGTTAGCGGGATCTACACTGAAGGACTAATGTTGGAACAACGTGTGTGATTGGAGTATCCTATGGGTTACATTTGTTGTCAACTTATGTTTAACATTTCTTTTTTTTCTTTATAATTTTATTTATTTTTGGCTGCGCTGGGTCTTCATTGTGGTGCAGGCTTTTCTGTAGTTGCGGTGAACAAGGGCTGCTGTCTTAATTGCAGTCCGAGAACTTCTCATTGCAGCGGCTTCTGTTGTTGCAGAGCACAGACTCTCAAGTACAGGTTCAGTGGTTGTGTACATGGGCTTAGTTGCTCTGAGGCATGGGGGATCTTCCCAGACCAGGGATCAAAGCCACGTCCCCCGCATTGGCAGGTGGATTCTTTACTGCTGAGCCAGCAGGGACGCCCAGGAGTTCACAAGCCACAAGTAAATGATCCTGCAGCATTGAAGACCCGGTGTAGCTTAATTAATAATAATAAAAAAAAAACCCTCCAGTGATTACGAAGTACATCTAGCAAAAAAATAAGAATCCTCTTCACAGCCTTCTTTCCTAATTCCCTGGTATCACTTAACAAACAGGCAGGAATATGTACTTCCTGTCACTGAGTTTGTCTACCTCTGTGTGTGTGCAGATGTTTGTGGGTGGATCTCGCTCAGCCCTTAGGCCTTTGGATAGTGTCCTTCTATGACTGTATTTGCAGTTTCATAAACTGAGTCGGGGAATGTGAGATCTCTCTCAATCCTCTCTATTTATTGTTCTGGTTTATATATATAGTCCATCATTATACATTTGTGCTGCATTTTGAGTAATTTCTTCAAATCTTACCATTCATTTTATTATCTCTTCAATGTATCTGATATGCTGTGAATCTGACTGGTAATGTAAATATAATGTACATAGGTACATAAGTATTTGTGTGTTTTTTGAAGGATGCTGTTTATTTTCTTAGTTTGCATAATGTGCTTTCCTAGTCTCTCACTGTTCGGACATGTTTTAGAAAGATGTCTTTATTCCTCCTAACGTACATATTTAGCATGTAGTATCTTGTAATTACAGTGTGTGGCGTTTCTTCACAGTTGATTCTGGTAATGGTTACAAAGATTCATGGTGAATGTAGCAATGTGTTCTGTTCATCCTGGTGTCACTAGAATATACTTAGTGCCTGGCACATATGTACTTGCTTCAAAAAAAAAGTTACACATGTAGCAAATGGTTCAACTCTATATTGCAAATGTTTCTTGTTTAGCAAAAGGATTTAATGATGACTTTTTATAGAAACTTCTGATTTGTTGAATGATGGTTGACTGTACAGTTACAGAATATTTGGGGAGACAGGTCTGAACATGGTTAGATTTTGCTTCTATGAAAATGTAGTTAAAAAAAAATCAAAACACCTCTGTATATAGATGTAGCCTAAATGGTAAAAAGAAAGAGAGCTGAACAACTTCCTTCACATGCCTTCCGTTACAGTAGCCAGAGAAACACTCTAGCAGGACTGTGTTGTTACAGGGATCCCTGACACTGGAGGACGTGGCCGTGGACTTCACGTGGGAAGAGTGGCAGCTCCTGGCCCCTGCTCAGAAGGCCCTGTACCGGGATGTGATGCTGGAGAACTACGGCAACCTGGTGTCTGTGGGTGAGGACGGCTCCTCCAGGTCCCTCAGACAGTCCCCAGTCAGTGGCCTTTATTATTTCAGCTTCTGAAAGCTCTGCAGTGTCCATGGTGCCCTGAAGTGGTATCTGAGTCTCAGTTTCCTCTCTGGCCCCAGCCTAGAGAGTATGATGTGCCCTTTCCTGAGAGATGAGCCTTCTCTTGGCTGAGCTGCTCACTGTGTGCTTCCTAAAATAGAACTCCATGCTGGCAGACCACAACCCAGGTCAAGAGCCTGTTTGTCTCTCATTTCCCATGAACAGGGTATCAAGCCAGCAAGCCGGCTGCTCTCTCCAGATTGGAGCGAGGAGAACCATGGCCTGTGGAAGACGAAGTCCACAGTCGACTCTGTCCAGGTGAGTGAGAGCCCCAGCACTGGGTTGGCCACAGGACTTACATTCTCATCATTCAGAGATGTCACAGCCATGAGCGTCTGACAACATGGAAGCCAGGATTCCATGACGCTCTCATAGAGAGCTTTTTTCCTTTTAGGTGTGTCGAAGAGTGTCTCTCTTCTTAGATTTCATCCCTGTTTATTTCATCTTGGTCTTGATTTTTTTTTTCCTCTTAAGTTTCATTTTAGAATTCTCAAATCTTCCTGTCCTGCCCCCAGCACTATATCCCTGACTGTTCCTTCTGATTTCCTTGCTATGAAATTACACCTTCCATGCCTCTCTCTGACGAGAGATGTTTAATTCTTTTAAAAAAATTTTGGCCACACAGTTTTTTAGACAGAACTTGTTTAAGGGAAATTTTTTAGTTCCCTGACCAGGGCTCGAACCTGGGGCCCCTGCACTGGAAGCATGGAGTCTTAACCACTGGACCACCAAGGAAGTCCCAAGATTTTTAGCACTGTCTTCTGACAGCTGTGCCTTCTTGCCCCTTTGGATAATATTTATTTCCAGTCCTAACATTTACATCATCTTTGATTGGCAGATAAGGTTTCAACATATAAATTGTGGAGGGAGGAAAGATAAACCCTTAAGGCAGTCTCTGGAACCTTCCATTTCTTCTTCATAGATCTGTGTTGGGAACGCCTCGGTCTTGCTGTGTTTCTCCTCTGTTCTCACACCACTGCTACACTCACATCACTTCTGACACCAGATGTGTGTTGGGTTTTCCCCCATAATAAGCAGTTCTCTGTGACACCTGATGTATGTTTGTGTGCTCAGTCGTGTCCGACCCTGCGACCCCATGTACTGTAGCCCAGCAGGCTCCTCTGTCCGTAGGATTTCCCAGGCAAGAATACTGGAGTGGGTTACCCTTTCCCACTCCAAGGGATCTTCCCGACCCAGCCATCTACCCTGCGTCTCTTGCATCTCCTGCATTTGTAAGTGGATTCTTTACCACTAGCGCCCCCGGGAAGCCTGACACCAGCAGAATGTCCTACAATTTAACTCAGTTCTGACACTGTCTGCCTGGAGAAAGCATCGGATCCCACAGATTAAGGGCTCCATCACACCAGACACCCCCCTTCAACTCCACTTCCAAACACAAGTCAAGGTTGGGCCCTGTGCTTCTGACTCACTTGCTCTAGACCGGGTCTTCCCAAGACTCCCTCCCTGCTCAGGTTCAATTCATTTGTTAGAGCAGCTCACAAAACTCAGAGAACCATTGCACTTACTAGATCACCAGTTTGTTATGAAAGGATCTAAGTCAGGAACAGCCAGATGAAGGAGGTGCCCAGGGCAGGGTGTGGGGAAGGGGCGGGGTCTTCCACGTGTCTGGGCATAATGCTCTCCCATCACCACCATGTGTTCAGCCACCCAGAAGCCCTCTAAATCCTGTAATTTTGTTATTTTTATGGAGACATCATCCCCCTAGGCATGATTGATCACTGACTTTCTCTCCAGCCCTTCTCGCCTCTCTGGAGAATGGAGGTGGGGGTGAGACTGAAAATTCCAAGCATCTGATCAAGGTTTGGTCTTTCTGGTGACCAGCCCTACCCAGCATCCCCCACCCCAAAATATAGGGGAAATAGAGCTTACAAGACATAGAATGAGAAAGCAATGGCCTGATATATAGAAGGCATAACTGGGATTTGAGTAAAGATGATGGAGAGCAAAGAATGAAGGTGTGAAGTTGGAAACATGCTAGGTCTTGAGGGAACTGTCAAAAGATTAGCCTGAAGCTCCTTGAAGGCCGGTTTTAGGAGGTGGTTGTACAGGAACAAGTAGAATGTGTACATGGATAAGTAAAGTAAATGTTGGTCATGTAACTTTTATTTCCAGACTAACTGTTCTGGTCTTTGTTAGTAGAGTTGACCCTGAATAACACAGGTTTGAATGGGTCCACTTATATGTGGAATTTTTTTCCATAAATACATAATGGAGTGTTACACTATCTGAAGTTGCTTAAATCCTTGACTACAGAGGGATGTCTACAAAGTTGATCTTTATAAAGTTAAACTGGATCTTGACTTTGAGGAGGGTCTGAACCCCTAACCCCATGTCGTTCAAGGGTCAGCTGTAATTGAGGTATAGTGGTGGCATTGTGAGCTTGGTTTATATTATCCTTGGATACATGGTCTTACTTTTTAATTGGGTGGCAGTAGTGTGAGCTGTAGTTAAGTACATCCAGTAGTTCTGAGACAAATGGCAGGTGAACTGTCAAGGGTCCTGAGGTCAGTAGTGAGATCCTTTAGGATTCCTTCTGATGGAAACCAGGATGAATATGTAGGCTGTTGAAAGAAAATGCTGTTAGTAGCAAGACTTGGGCTTAGGGATTATTACAATGAAATGTAACAATTTGGATGTTAAAATGTAATTTTGGAATTTGAAATTGTAAATGAAATTATAAATTTGAAATGTAAATTTGGATATTACATGTGTATGTACAAAGGGTAAAAGAAAAAGGTGCCAGTTCCCTAGTATGAAATTATGATATAAGATACATATATATCTTGGTCTTTGACCCTGGTTTAGAGTTCCTAAAACCCTTGTAGTTTCCTAAGTACAGGACTGCTTATTTCCTTTATCAGTATTGGTATAGTCAATGTTGACTGCTCCTCACTGGGCTTTTTAAAACTCAAAGTCGTGAGACTTCCCTGTTGGTCCAGTGGCTGGGTCTCTGAGCTCTCAATGCAGGAGGCCTGGGTCTGATCCCTGGTCAAGGAACTAGATCCCACATGCTGCAACTTAATAAAAAAAAAATCCTGTATGCTGCAACTAAGACACAGCGCAGCCAAATAAATAAATATATATATACATTTTTAAAAAAACCCAAAGTCTTAATGTTACAAAAACTATAAACTTCGACCCATGCCTTCATCTACTTTCAGTCTACACTTTTTTCCCAATATCTCATCCTACCCCCTATCCTTATATAATATTAATATACAAATGATTCCCACAGTGTTGTCTTCAGTGAGGACCTTTATCAGGATCTGTATGTTCAGTTGAATTCTTCATGTCTGCTTCGAATATCCAGAACCTACCTGAAGGTTGAAATGCTTTGAAACGCACACTTGATTTAGCAACATTGTGAACCTCAATGATAGTCCCCATCTCATTAAAAACCACTGCATTTATCCAGTGGCCTAGGTCAGGTAATCAGGAGTAACACTTGATTCTTTACATTTATCATAACAACCATGAATGAACCTTGTTTTTCCTCTCTCTAGATTTTTTTCCTCTCTCTCTGGATTATATCCTAATTCTTTCCACCTGGTTCTCTATTGCTTCCTCAAACCACTTTTCACAATTTGCTCCTGCCTTCTTAATTGTTGCTTTAATATTCAGTTTTACCCTAACTGGAATTTATGCTCAGTGACAATAAGGACTTTGTTTCTATTTCCTCATCACTGGCATAATGCTTGATACATAACCATAATTTAAAAAAGTTTTATGATGTATGAAAGTGTGCCACATCATTTGGAAACAAATAGCCCTCTATCTTTGTTCATAATAAAAGTGAAGGTGTTAGTCACTCAGTTATGTCTGACTCTTTGTGACCCCATGGACTGCAGCCCTCCAGGCTCCTCCATCCATGGAATTCTCCAGGCACGAATCCTGGAGTGGGTTGCCACTCCTTTGTCCAGGAGATCTTCCTGACCCAGGGATTGAACAGGGGTCTCTCATGTTTCAGGCAGACTCTTTACTGTCTGAGCCTCATAAGAACTTGATTTTATTTTACTATCTCAGCATACTTTGTAAGTTCACAATTACAAAGCAGCCAAATCTCTATTTGCTCATTTTGAATGCTCTAACTTCATTTATGCCCTATTTTACCCTTTATTTATATTACTGTGTTGTACCCTTGTCCAGGTAATAACAAACATATTTACTTGAAGTTTCTTTTTTTTAAGTTAAGGTATAGTTGATTTACAGTTTTTTGTTAATTTCTGCTATAAAGTGTTTCTTTTTCATATTCTTTTCTGTTATAATTTCTCAGAGTATATTGAATATACTTCCCTCTGTTATATAGGAGGACATTGTTGTTTATCCATCCTGTTTATAATAGTTTTCATCTGCTCATCCCAAACTCCCAGTCCATCTCTCCCCATCCCCTGCTTCCCTTTTGGCAACTACAAGTCTGTTCTCTATGTCTGTAAGTCTTTCTGTTTCATAGACAAATTCATTTGTGTCATATTTTAGATTCCACATATAAGGGATATATCTTTCTCTTTCTGACTTAGTTTGGTAATTTCTAGGTCCATCCATGTTGCTACAAATAGCATTATTTCATTCTTTTTTTATGTCTCAGTAGTATTCCTTTATGTACTACATCTTCTTTATCCATTCATATGCTGATGGACATTTAGGTTATTCCATGTTTGGGCTATTGTGAATTCTGCTGCTGTGAACATAGGGGTGCATGTATCTTTTCAAATTATAGTTTTTTCAGATATATGCCCAAGAGAGGGATTGCTGGATTGTATGGCAGCTCTATTTTTAGTTTTTTAAAACGTCCATACTGTTTTCCAGAGTGGCTACACCAATTTAATTTACATTCCCACCAACAATGTAGGAGGGTTCTCTTTTTCTACTTGGAGTTTCTTTAAACTGAGGTCATAGTGTTGTCTGTAAAGAGCCCACTTACCCAAAGGCATTTGTTAAACAGTTTCACTCTGTACCAAGTTCATGGGAAGGTTCATTCTTCTCTTCTTTCCTAGAAATGAGGAAAGATGACTGTCTTCTACAGGAGGACTTGCAAAATCAAAGTTGTCCAAAAAGAATGGAACGATGTCATGAACATAATGCACTTGGAAATGTTGTTTATCAGAGCAAAAGTCATTGTCCTTTAAGGCAACATCATGATATACTTTACTTACATGGGAAAACACTGAAATCAAACTTAAGTTCAATCAGCCAGAACAGAAACTATGAAGTAAAGAACCCCATTAAGGCTAATGTAGATGGGAAATTCTTCCTCCATGCAAAGCATGAGGAGTTTCACAATGAAAGTAAGCTTCCTGAATGTGGAATTCCTATGAACACAAATTCTCAGATCATTACGTGTCTAGGAACTCAACAGATAAATAAACATCATGTTTGCACTGAATGTGGGAAAGCCTTCATCAAGAAGTCCCGCCTCATCGATCATCAGAGAGTTCACACAGGAGAAAAACCCCACGGATGCAGTGTATGCGGGAAAGCTTTCTCTAGAAAGTCTAGACTCACTGAACACCAGAAAACCCACATAGGAGAGAAACGGTATGCATGCATTGAGTGCAACAAAGTCTTCCCTAAGAAGTCACGGCTGCTTATCCATCAAAAAACTCATACAGGTGAGAAGCCCTATGTATGCGACGATTGTGGAAAAGGCTTTGTCAAGAAGTCTCGGCTCATTAATCATCAGAGAGTTCATACAGGAGAGAAACCTCATGGGTGCAGCCTGTGTGACAAAGCATTCTCCAGGAAGTCCAGGCTCATGGAACACCAGAGAACTCACACGGGAGAAAAACCTTATGAATGCACGGAATGTGACAAAGCCTTCCGCTGGAAATCGCAGCTCAACGCACACCAGAAAACTCACACAGGGGAGAAATCATATATATGTAGTGATTGTGGAAAGGGCTTCATTCAGAAGGGCAATCTCATTGTACATCAGCGAACTCACACTGGAGAGAAACCCTATGTATGCACTGAATGTGGGAAAGGCTTCATCCAGAAGGGCAATCTCCTGATACATCAGCGAACTCACACTGGAGAGAAACCCTATGTATGCACTGAATGTGGGAAAGGCTTCAGCCAGAAAACTTGCCTCGTCTCACATCAGAGATTTCACACTGGAAAGACTCCCTTTGTATGTACCGAATGTGGAAAATCCTGTTCACACAAGTCAGGTCTCATTAACCACCAGAGAATTCACACAGGAGAGAAACCCTACACGTGTAGTGACTGTGGGAAAGCATTCAGGGATAAGTCATGTCTCAACAGACACCGGAGAATTCACACAGGAGAGAGACCCTATGGCTGCAATGACTGCGGGAAAGCTTTCTCCCACTTGTCATGCCTTGTGTATCACAAGGGGATGCTACATGCAAGAGAGAAACGTGGTGACTCAGTCGGAAATCCTTTCTCAAAGCATCCCAGCCCATCACATCCACGTGATATGGTACAGGGAAAAAACCCTGTTAGTGCGGTGACTGTGCAGATGCCTTCTGTGGCAACTCAGACTCCATCCCACAGTGATAAGTCCCTAGAAGGTGAAAACATAACCCTTGTGGGACAGCCAGGGGGAAGATATGCACCCTCAGCAGATAATAGAATTTGCACAGAAGAGAAACCTAGTGAATGCAGTGAATGTGGTAGCACCCTCAGTGGTCAATTACATCATATTTTTGTCACAAAAGACACAGGAATAAACTAATTCAATCAAGCTGGAAAACCCTTGAATAAAACCTACCAGCTGTTTGTATGGCTGGCGAGTGTATACTGAGACAAACAGTATAAACACAGAGACTGGGAAAGCCTCTCATGGAAAGATAGACCCTAACAGGGCTTTCATAGGTCACATATGTCAGTGAGGTCATAGTTAGCAGAAATGTAATGACTGTGGAGAAGTCCTTCCCCAGAAATAAGACTTCAGTAGGTGTCAGAGTTCACACTGGAGAGAAACTGTTGGACCTCTGAAGGCAGTAAATGGGTCAGTGGTATGTTCCTCCTCATCGGTTGTCAGAGGAAATCATGTAGAAATAAAACTCTGAACATACCAACTATGGCACGTCTTCAGCAAAATATCAGAAAGTGCATGAAGCAAATAACAAATAAACCCTGTGAAAATGAATCTTTTAGAGATTTCTGTCACAATTTTAACCTGATATATTAAATTGTATACATAGTGTACACTCTAGGACAGTACACCTGGAATCAGACGCCTAGTTTTGATGTCAGTGACTCCTTAATTGAAAGGAAGGCGTCTCTGTTGCACTTCATCTATGAAAGTTATAATGTGGTACATTCCCCTCTGTGGGCTTCCCTAGTAGCTCAGATGGTGAAGAATCTGCCTGCAGTGCAGGAGACCTGGCTTCGATCCCTGGGTTGGGAACATCCCCTGGAGAAGGAAATGGCAACCCACTCCAGTATTTTTGCCTGAAGAATCCTATGGATAGACCATGGGGTCACAAAGAGTCAGACATGACTGAGCAGCTAACACTAACATACACTCCCCTCTGTGAAGGGACGTGAGTCTTCTTTTCCCACTCAGGATCATTATATGATTAGCTCTTGCATTTCTTCAGTTCTAACTTTACTCAGTTTGTTGTTTCAGCTTATCAAAGTCCTTCAAAAGGAAAAAAATACGTTTAATCTGATAATGTAACAGCATGTTTGGATGTGCTTAACTTTATACATCTCACTTGGAGGAACAGAGCTCAAAATTCATGAAGAATCTATCAGCCAAGCTGTGGCTCTAGAAGATAGTTCCTTTCCTGTACACACACCATCCAGAAAAAAACTTTTTAACAACTGTTTCCTTTGACTTGGTCCTGTCCTAGGACCTAGAAATGATGACAGTGATGAACTTAAGAGGAAATCCTTTCCACCTTTGAGCTGGCAATTTTTTAAGGCTAGATTTCATGCCTATGGTAATTTTACCCTCAGTCAAAGATAATCAAAGTATGTGTACACCTACATGAGTTGAAAAGGACATATAAGGAACGAAGTATTTCTGATAATTTTCTATTCAAGGTGAAAGGTTTTTGCGTGAAAGGCGCCGGGATTCTTGGCCTCTGGAGGAGAGGAATTGAGTCCAGGGCCAGTGACGAGGCTTGATCACGCAGAGCTTTTGTGTGACAAAGTTTTATCAAAGTATAAAAATGATAGACAAAGCTTTGACACTGATATCAGAAGGGGGCAGAAAGAGTGCCCCCTTGCTAGTTTTTCGCAAGCTGTTTTATTTCTGTTAGAAAGCTGTCTCAGATAAGAGAGACACCTCAACACTGAGGGAGTTTCACCAGGCCACTCTTCCACACTATACATTTTTGAGATAGGATGGAATGAGGTGTGTCATCTCCCAGCCATAAAACAATTAATATGAATACTGATTTGTTGAGCTATTATCAGCCGAAGGTTTGAGAAAAGAAAAAAAGTTAGTCTTGGGTAGAACCATTTTGAAAAAAGGCAAATTCCAAAGCAAATACATAGTTTCATTAACATAGCTTAAGTAAAACATTTCCATAAGGAAAATGCATTGGTTAGCTCAAAATTTGAGAAAAGTTCAGTTCAGGTGGACCCAGGTTTTGTCATGGCAACACAGAATTTTAAGAGAAACCTCCTTTTAATTTTGTATAGAGAAGGAAAAAAATCTGACACTTGTAGTTTTTTTTTCCCTGCTGCTTAAGCGGGAGATAAAAAAATTCTGACGTTTGCAGCCTGTTTCCTCCCTTTGGAGATCCATGGCCTTCATGCCTGTTACCCTCTCAAAGGGACATATTAGAAGAGAAAGGGCAAATAATTCATTTAAGTTTACATAGAAAAGGGTATGGATACTTTAAAAAAAATGTTCACATTGTTCCACCTAGATTATAAATTCTTTGTTAGTTTATACATAATGGTATAGTCCCCATTTCATAGCAAAATAGGAAATGAATTATATGTAGATTTGAAAAATTAATGACCTCAGGAACTAACCAATCAAAGTTATTTTGTCGCTGAAGGAAAGGACCTACTGGAAAGCAATTTTCAGGATCAGAATTATTGCAAGGAACCTTTTTGAATCGAGCCTTCTGTCAGAATATAAGATGTGCAGATCAGAGAAGGAATAGTGAGGTATTTAATCCTAATGTCTTAGTGTGACATAATTTGGTCACTGCTCTTGGTTCCTGACACAAAGGTCATGAAACCCTTGTAATTTCCTGAGTGATGGGAGTGATAGGAACATCTTACACAGAGCTGTTAAACCCCTTGGAATTTCCTGGGTGATAGGAATGTCTGCTCTTATAAGGTGACTCTGGGTGGGCTTCTGCCTATCTCCTAAGTGAGGCTGGTCACCAGAAAGACCAAACCATGATTAGAAGCTTGGAACTTTCTACTTTATCCTCATATACTATGGGGATGAGAGAGGGGCTAGAAATTGAGTTAATAATTATTTATTTAAATATATATATGACATCATTTGAATTTCCTATCTTTAAAATGTAGCCATGAGTCAAGTATATCATTTTTTTTTAAAGGAAAGGCAACATATATATGTATATATTTAATAATATGTGTAATGATATATACATGTTTGTCAAAAAAGGACCTTCCATGTTGTGTTGGGGGGCTTCCCTGGTAGCTCAGCTGGTGAAGAATCCACCTGCAATGTGGGAGACCTGGGTTCAATCCTTGGGTTGGGAAGATCCCCTGGAAAAGGGAATGGCTACCCATTTCAGTATTCTTGCCTGAAGAATTCCATGGACAGAGGAGCCTGGCAGGCTGAAGTCCATGGGGTCACAAAGAGTTGGACACAACTGAGTAACTCTCGCTTTCACTATTGTGTAAGGGGGGTCCCCAAGACCACCCTCAGGTCTGATAATCTGCTAGAAAGACTGATAGAACTCAGAAAACTTGTATCCCAAGGTTACATGTATAATAGAAAGAACAGACACTAAAATCAGCAACGGGAAAAGGAAAAACCGCACCCACACTGATACAGGGTGGAAGCTCTAGATCCCATGGCGTCAGTGGACCTCTGCAGGGACTGGAAACTAAAATCAGGCCTGTGGGTTTCCTTCCAGCTGCTGGGATCCAGTTCCAGATAAAGACTGGACATTGGGGTTCAGGGGATCTTCCCTGGTTGGTGATACCCCCTGCCTGCCTGCTGTCACACATTTATGTCAGGAAAGTAACCCTCACTATTATATATAAAATAGATAACCATGGGAATTCTCTGGCAGTCCCGTGGTTAGGACTCTGCCCTTCTACTGCAGGGGACACGGATTCCATTCCTCATTGGGGAACTACTATTCTGCAAGCCTCAAGGTGTGGCCAAATAAAAAATATAACCAACAAGAGCCTATAGTATAGGACAGAGAACTATACTAAATATTTTATAGTAACCTATTAAGGAAAAGAATCTGAAAAAGAATATATATATTCACGTGTGTGCATGCTAAGTCACTTCAGTCATGTCTGACTCTTTCTGACTCTATGAATTATAGGCTGTCAGGCTCTTCTATCCATGGGATTCTCCAGGCAAGAATACTGGAGTAGGTTGCTATGCCCTCCTCCAGATCTTCCCAACCTGGGGATCAAACCTGGGTCTCTTATGTCTCCTGCGTTGGCAGGTGGGTTCTCTACCACTAGCACCTGGGAAGCCCAATATATATGAATAATTGAATTATTTTGCTATATATCTGAAACTAACACAACATAAATCAACTATACTTCAATTTTTTAAATTTAACATTTTTTAAATTAAAGGGATTTATTATGTATATGTCAAACTCTGGCTTCCTTGGTGGCTCAGATGGTACAGAATCTGCCTGCAATTCTGGAGACCTGGGTTCGATCCCTGGGTTGAGAAGATCTGGAGAAGGGAATGGCAACCCATTCCAGTATTCTTGCCTGGAGAATCCCATGGACACAGGAACCTAACTGGCTGCAGTCCACAGTGTTGCAAAGAGTCAGACACTACTCAGCAACTAACAGCATGTAAAACTGAATCACTTTGCTGTGCATCTGAAACTGACACAACATTGTAAATCAATTATACTTCAATTAAAAAATAAGGGGGAAAAAAGTCACACTGCCCATGATTCCATTGTTGGAAAGGGACCTGGAAGCTCCATTTGGAACTTCCCCAGACTCTGCCCTTCCAGTCTCTTCCCTTGCCTGATGTTAATCTGTATCCTTTAGCTGTTATGAACCCTCACTCTGAGTAGAACAGCTTTCAGTGACTCCTGAGCCCCTCTGGCAAATTATTGTCATCTTAGGGAATATTGGAAAGTGGAACTAACTTCCTGCTATGACCTTTGGTTCCATGACTGTCAGTCACTTCCTGAGAATTGTTTATGGCATTGGTGTATAGGGTTA